CTAGGAAGAAGTAAAAAAAAAAAAAAGAAAGAAAGAAGGGCAGTTATCTGGATCCCCATTATGCCAAAAATAAGGACACAGAGAATGCAGTGTGTGTGTCTTCCAAAAGAATGCCAGTCATCTTTTTATTACAATCTCTAAAACTTTGAGATCAGGTAAATCAATGTGTACATAGTCTACCTATTCTGCCTACTAGCTCAAGACACAGAAACGTGTTATTGGAAATAACCCCAAAAGGAAAGACATCTTGCTCTCATGAAGCCTCCAGTAAATTGAGTTTGCCAGCAAAACTAACCCAGATTTTCCTTGTTTGTCTTTGGAATGAACCCCAAAGGCTAGGACTATTTATTTCACCGCATTATAAGGGAGTAAGTCTATGAATCGGGTAAGTCAGTTTCTTATAATACTTCAAACTTTCTTGAAATACTTTAACAACTGTGCTATGTTCTAAATCAAATCAAAATCTCTCACAGAGGAAAATATACTAGCCAAGACTTTAGTTGTTTTATATTAATGGCCTTCTATCTAACCAGTTCCTGAAAAAAAAAAAGAAAGAAAAGAGAAGAGGAACCATTTCTATAATCATGGACTCTAGCAAGCAAACACCATGAACTTGCATGCCAGGGAGAAGACATGATGAACTCCAGCTCAGAATCATATTGAATCAGGTTCAATTCAGGACATAAAATGAAATGAAAAGCCCAAACTAATTAGATTGTAATGAGCAGTTCATATGCCTTATGTCGTTTTATCACGTGCAGTAGGTGCTGTATCCCTACAGTGAATGACTTCAAGCAAGTCATCAGTTTGTACTGTGTTCAAGAATGCTAATCAGAAGGAAAAGGGTCTTTTTATGACATGCTTGAAGAAAACAAGATTGATTGTAGCTTCTTGATCATAGCAGTGCCAGTGGAATGGCTTTATCTCTATTAAACTTCACTTGCGTTTCTGGAAAGCATGGAGTGTCCTAATGAGACAGGCAGAAATAAAGGAGTTCATTAGTATGAAATTGCTAAAGTTGAAATGTCATGTATCAAGTTGGGAGCTGATATTCTGAAGAACACTCAGAGTCTGGGTCTGAGACTCCAATGTGAGCAACAGGTACCATATTGGTTTCCTTGGCCTCTGCCTCCCCCTGCTGCCCTCCCCTCCCCCATCCAGCCACTACATAGTGTTCAGTGAATTTCCAATTCTGAGGTCCTCAGAGATTTTAATTGCATCATTAAATATCTCATAGCAAAGCCATAAAAAAAAAAAAGTCACACTTTTCATAAGGTTCCAAAGTGATTTTCAGTGTGCCACGGCCTTGAGGAAATAAGATCAAACTACATGAAGACAAACACTAACAAAAGCAGTTTCATGTTGTGTGTGCAAGTTATTTGCCAGTTTTGCTTTCTATTCATAACCCACCCTCTGTCTGTTCTGCTCTGTATCTTTGGAAACTACATTTCCCAGCATTCCCTGCTCACTGGATTTTGGTGGGTTGGTCAATGAAAGATACTGGCAGAATCCTGGAAGGATTAAAAAGGGATTATTCAGCCTATTTTTTTCTGCTCTTTCTGTATCCCTGGCAATGACTCTGTCTTCTCAGTGATTGTAGCTCCCATTGGAGAAACCCCTAGCTCAGTGGTCAGGGCACCAGCAGGGAAGTCTCCACGAGGACCCTAGTTCCCCAAGGGTGGTCATCTCACAAGCTCATTTCACAAGTTCCTCCTCGTGTCCCTGTTGGGGGAACGGGATAGCAGCTTCCTACTGTTTCTAATTTATGGGTTACCACACTGTCACCTTTCTACCATTCTATCATGTATGTAAACAACTCCCTGTATTAAATTGTCTCTGTTTGAAAAACCTAGAGAGGTTTCTAGTTTCCTGCCTGGACCTTGGCCGATACAATGATCTTATATAATAACATTGTTCTCAGGAATAGCATTCCCTTTGAAAATATCCTCATAAGAAAATGACCATACGAAGAAGAAAGAGGAAAGAAAAGAACTCCTGAAAGAAAAAGCTTTACACAAAGCTCTCTATGTGACAATTCTCCCACGACACAGCTATTTATTTGTAAGCCTGCTGCAAGAGTCTCTTAAAATAATGACAATTAGGAGTCCTTGAACATTTTAATATCAGCACACTCCTAACCTTCTGGAGATTTTCTCTAAGTAATTTGTTTGCATTCCATTAAACTGCTCCTTAATTTGAAGCTAAAATTATATTTTTCATATTCATATTCAACTGCATCTCTTTGATATTTTTGATGCAACACATACTAAATTTCATTAGCAGTGTCTTGGCAAAATAAAATAATTGTGGAATAAATTTTAAGGTAAAAAACGAAAGGGGACTATATTTCATGACCCTATGAGTTATAAGATATATTTTGATTAGGAAAAAAAAAAAAAAAAAACATCAGCCTTCCCATTTTTTTCTAGCCCGTCTCTTATTAGAAAACTTGAACCAACCAGAGTTGTCTTATTTGTGATTTAAAAAGAAGAGAACTGGGTAAATATTTAGCCTATCCTTAATTATCCTTTCTAATACTGAATATTTACATTTCCACATAGTTGGAATTCTCTCGCAGCGACTTGGCAAGTATAAATTATCCTTGCCCTCAAGACTACCAGGTTCCACAGCGGCACATCAACAGTTGTGTTGAAAGACTCCAGCTTTGTTATTAACAATTAATACTGGTTTTAAACATGAATACCCTGACTTGCTGGTACTGCAGTTTCTTTTCATTTCCATTAAAAAATGCTAATGCAGGAGGCCCTTTGTTGCTTGCCGAGGCCAAAGTTTTCATAGCCCCCAAAGCCTATTTTGAAATTCTCTCACCAAAATTCATTTAATACGTCAGAAGTGCCCAACAGAGGGACATCATGGCAAATTGCCCATGGTTTTAAGTAGTGAAGACACAGGCACCTCATTTTTAACGTGGAGGGTTGGCCAACCAACCATGGCTTCCACCAAATAATGAGTCACTGACTTCATCTCAATAATAAGGCTGGTTAGCACCACTGTTAGTGTTTCCCGGCTTAATTTTTCTTACAAAATCAACCCGGAGTTGAAGGGCCTGATCCATAGGGATTTTCCCTGGCACTAGAAAGATCCAAGAAAGATTAGAATCACTTTAAATTAAAAAAAAAAACAAAAAACAAAGAAACCTCAGCTTCAAAGAAGCTGAGGGATCTAACTAGTAGTTTTGACATCTTCCCTCTTAAAAAAAATGGTGAGCGTTTTGGTTTGCTAGGGCTCCTGTAACAAAATACCACAGACTCAGTGGCTTAAACAACAGAAATGTATTTGTTCACAGTTTTGAAGGCTGGGAAATCCTGTCCAAGCACCAGCAGGGTTGGTTTCTCTCTCTCGGCCGCTCTACCTGGCGTACAGATAGGTGGCTGTCTTCTCCTCATGGCACGTGGTCACCCATCAATATGTGTTGTCTGTGTCCTAATCTTCTCATAAGAACATCAGTTAGGCCTACCCTAACGACCCTATTTTTACTTAATTCTCGCTTTAAGAACCCTTTCTCCAAAAATAGTCACATTCTGCGGTACTAAGAGTTAGAGCTTCAACATGAATTTTAAGGGGACACAACTCAGCCCGTAACAGTGAGGATGCAGAAATCTATCGTTGCTGGCCCCATGCTTTCCTGCCTGCCAAGTTTTCCTCCCTTACTGGTTCCCTCACGCAATGTCTTCTACTCTTCAGTGTCTTCTATTCTTCAATTCCAGAACTCCTTAAGATAAGATGTGAAAAGCTTATGTTACATTATGATTTAAATGACAACTGAATTTTATGTATCAACTTTTTCAAGTGCATTTGCTTTGAAATAGGAGGCTAAATATTAATTCTTTTTTTTACAATGGCATTCGTGAAATTGCAGGCACCAGTAAAGCAAACCAAGCTTGTACTTTGTGCCCTTCCATTGCCTTTGAAATTACACCATACAGGAAACCATCTCAGACACCTACCTATAACGTCAGCTTTGGTTTTTGTTCTCATATACTAACCTTCATCCTTATCATTCAAGCCTACCTGACATTTTCTTTATTATTGTGCATTTATTGAATGCCAGTAGGATGCTACATCCAAAGAAGCTTCTAAAAGTTGGTAAGTAATGCTCATACACAAATCTCCAACCTAGAGCTGCTAGTAATTATGTTTATGATTCAATAAATGGGTTTTTTTTGACTATTTGCCCAAACTGTGCCCCAGCATGACCCGGGTGGACTAATCCTGCTAGGGGTACTATTTTTGGATGCCATAAATCTAAGCTTCTGGCTATTTCTAGTCATTAAACATCCCATGGAACTTTTCATAACACTTAAGAGTTTTTAATCCCCAGCTTCTGGCCAAATTCCAACTGGAATAATTATGTTCTGCTTACTGTACCTAAATTCTCACATGGCAGCATGAGGGGTTCTTTTATTGTAGCATCTCCACTGCAACCTATAGAGTATGCCATGTAGTTTTCAACATGGTAGAATGCAAGTTCATATAATTCTATAGGTTGCATTGCTGATCAAACTCAATTCAGCCATTACATTCTTCAGGGTCTTTGAAATAATTTGTGTGCTAACACGCAGTCATTAAGTGCTAAATGTTACGTCATCTTAAATCACATGGAGCAGAGCCCGGGAGTTCACCATAAGATGCTCTTTTCTAACAATAGGACAACAGAGCCTTCTCTGCCTGAATTTCATTATTGCTCTCATGGATGCTTGGGAATTTGGTTTCAACTCAGAAACACACAAAATGTTACAGGCAACTTGAATTCATTAGGTTCTTTTGATTATACTGGAAGTTAAGAAGAATGAAAGCCTGGTCTTCCAATACCCTGTACCCACATGAGTGAAGTTTACAGTTTATAGTTATAGGGAGGAAAGAATATCCATTTTTCAAAGGTCTGGTCACCTAACATTCAAAAGATAAGCAAAATGATCTCACTGAGAAGTTCCTAACGCCTAAAAGGCCTTGAAAAGGGCCAAAAGTAACAGCTGCTTTTGCCAGAGAAGGGATCTGGCAGGCATCTAGTGTCAGGGTCAAGGGCTGGGACTGGGAAACAGAAACACTGGCAGCAGACAAGGGAAGAATGGCAGGCACTGCTGGCTTCTGCCAGTCTCGGCTTCATAGATGAAAAGGATTCGACTCGTCCACATAAATCAGCCATGGAGGGGCAGTGGGCCCACACAGGTAGGCTTGTGCTCTCGTTACCCTCCTAGTGCCCTGACGTCTCTTGGGCGGTATGGATCCTTTTTCAGCTGAGGCACAGGGAATGTTCTTTACGAAACACCTAGACTTATTCTCCCGTTGCGATTCCTATTCAAGTAATTTCAGAAGGTTCCTGTGGTCCACCCAGCTGCAGAGGTGAGGCCTGTATCCAAGTGATTTCACAAGGACAGAGCAGCCAGATCAGCAGAAATTCTCCTCCGGGACAAAAGGTAATGGTGTCTCTTTGTAACCCTTTTTTAACTCTTCCATCAAGAGTACAGAATTCACATATCCAACCTCCATCCCTCACCACGTTTGGAACCCTGTTTCTCTTGTTCCGTGGGGAACAGTAATTCTGCAGCTTTAACATTCAATTCATTTGCTAAGTTATTTTTCTCCTATTTAATTTAGTTTTGTTACTATCAAAAGAAACATTTTTACATGACTGATCAGAACTCCAAATGGAGTAGATCTTCAAGTATTAGATTTCTTTCCAGCCAATAGGACAGTGAATAGCACATCTCACCCAATTCACATGTAGGAGAGAGACTTGATCTAAACTAAGGTAGCTTAGAAAAATAGAGATAACAAACAAAACCTTAAAGAATCAGTATCTATTTGATATTTTATTGTACAGGTAAATCTAAGAATTTTTACCCTGTTCTCAAGAAGATCTAACAAACTGGAAAACTACAAAAATGTATTTGGTGAAAGCCTAGGAGTTATAGGCTCATTTAAGCTGTTTCCACTTTTTTCCCTCTTCAAATTTTGAAGCACTGTCTTTAAAACTATTACATACCCAGAAGGGTTGGCAGAATTGGGACTGGAATAAAATAGGATACGATTTGTAAAATCATCTTCATATATTTGAATAAGGTATGCTTCCCCCTCTCAAACTTACTCTGTAAAATGGCTCTTATAGCAGTTGTTAACACCATAGTGTGAATATGAGGCAATGTGCTATCTCTCTGAGTAATATTTGCATTTTGGATCTCATTTCTAATTGTGGAATGAAATAATCTGTTCCAGATAAAAGAATTTTAAGTTTAAGCCCAGAAATTATTTTTAAGCTCTACTTGATCACCTTTTTTTGGTAGCTTGAAGAGAAGACTCACAGAAAGTATTTTTTTTTTTCTTGAGAGAATATTCTCTTCCTGCCAATTTTGCTTTACAAAACTACATTGTTTTACATTATGTATGTTAATCGATGCACTTGGAGACTGCAGGGAGCTGGAAGGACTTAGAGCTGGAAGGACTTTAAAGTTTATTGAATCCAATACCCTCACCCAGCATTTTTAATATAATAAATCTACAGCTGTCTTTAAACTAACCTTTGAGCCAAACAGCTCGCTATTTCCTAACGGTCTTTCCCCAGGTGAATCTCTATCACTAATGTGATTAGTAACTGTCTCTGATGTGTGTGTTTTTACACCTAGATATTCCCATTTAGCCCAAGCCCATAGATGCAGTCCTTGAGGTGATGCTATAGAACAACCAACCCACCATGAATGTTGTGCTGTGAGTCATTTTCTTCAGTACGGTGATGCATTGGCTTTAAACAATGCATAGTCTCTAGTCACATCTCCTTACTGACCCATAGTAAACAAATGCAGTGGCAGGTTGGGGTCAGGGATGAAACCCATTGCTCATGAAAAAGAGATGTTGGTTGACAGGACCACATGAGGAAAAAGCACCTAATATGAGCGTCATTAGCACAGTGTTCTAACCGAGGAGCTAACCGACGGTAAATACATACAAATAGGTGCATACCCATTTTAGGATGAAATTTCTTAGCCATCTTCAGCCTACTTTTCAGCAAATGCATCTAATGCATTATCAATTTTCCAAGCAATTATTAAAATCATTAGAGTGTACTAGATTTCTCTTTTTTGATTACTAAAGGTTGTGTTGAGTTGCTGACTGATGATGTGAATGAATGGTGTAAGAAGTAGGGTAGAATTTATTCTTGTTATTAATAACAGGCATCACATGGGCCCTGGTGTGCTCTATAAGGCTTAACATTCCAAAACTGGATATCACGTGTTACCCATATTATGGTGGAATTTGTTTTTTTAATGAGTGTATTTCATTTTAACTCATGTTGTCATGTGAAACCATATCACCTAAATGTAATTAAGTCATAAAAGGTACCATATTAATACTAAGATATATCAGCATTTTACTAGACTCTTGTATCCTACATATGAAGCAAAGAAGGAATCTAAATATCTACATTTATTTTCTCTATGATAGAAGTGAACTGAGCATGTTTTCAAGAAAAGACTATCATTGTATGATTATATAATGAAGGCAATATTGTTCAGAATTTAGAATGAAGGAATTTAGAAGATAAAATGCAAACAATATATAAATAGCTGAATCTCCAAGAGTCTAAAATTAATCTAATTTGTGTGTAAATCACATGTATTGGGTAATAGTGTATCTTGAGGAAGTACATGTAAGGGCATCCCCAACTCTTAGCTAGGAACACTGATGTCTCAACCTTTTTATTGTTGTTTTCAATTGCAGCAATTTGCCTAAGGGGATATATTATGCAATATTGCACATAACACAGAAGGAAGATGCCAGTAGTTTGTCAGAGGTCCAGAAGCCCACAGCCATCTCATGAGGTCTGATCCCAAACAACCAGGAACAGAGCACGGTGTCATTGAGGGGGCTAGGATTGGTCTAAGACCTTCAGCAAGCTTCAAACTCACAGAAAAATGACCCAGATCTTCACTACGGCATATCTTTCCAGAGGGAATCTGATGTCAACTAACCATTCTGGAGGATAATTTCTGTGCTCCAGAAATTCCACTGTGCCCCAAGTCACCTGTGACAGCAGGCATCACGATGTAGGACTGCGTGTTTACCCCAGGGTCTAGGACATGACCTTAAATGTAGTAGGAGCTTGACAAAACTTGTTTATTTAAGACTATTGTGTGTTTGACAACTTTTTTGACATTATCACCATCTTCATTCACTTTTATTCCAAATGCAGCCAAGAGCTCAGCAGGAGCTGGAAGGGAGGGGGGACACTTTGCAACAAAGTGCTTAATTAGTTCCTTTGGTTAAGAAATGGAGTGAGTCATATAGCAACATTAGAGAAGAGAATGCAGATCTATTTGGGCCAGAAAGCTAAATCTAGCTAATGGTTAATTTAGTCCATTCTCAGTGTGAAATGGGGAAAAGAAATAAGTTGAACAGGATGACAATGATGGATCAGGGACACTCAACAGCTTTTGAGGTCTGTTGAATTCATTTCTACCAAGGCAGTTTTATTATTTATAACTATTTGATAGAAGATACTCTTCAGATCCAAAAGGAGCAATTTTTAGAGGAAAGAGAACAATACTAACACTCACTAATCCAAATAACTAAAATCTAACCACTATGAAAACTATGCTGATTAATTTATTCGCCTTGTCAAATTTTGTTAAAATTGTCCTGTCCATAGTACCCTGCACGGGAAATAGCACCAGGCTGGTTTGTGCATAAAGACGTCCCCTGATTCAACCCGTAACAAAGACCATTGGCCCACCAGGAACCAGGAATGTTCTTTCTGAGAGAGGCTTTCCGATGGCAGTAGTTGCTAGTCCTCGTGGGTTGTAAATAGAGTGAGGATCAGAGACCATATTGGGTCATGCTCAGAATAGCTAAGCTGAGACAGCCTCTCAAGTAAGAACCTGCCCTACTTTGAGTGGATGTTTTCATGACATCAAAATGCCTGGATGAGTAGAGCATGCTCCAAAGCTTCCAATTTGCGATCCTAGAAAGACCCAAACGTTTTTTAAAAAAAGAAAAATTTTCAGGCTCATGAAATGGTAGAAGGCCTTATGGAGTGATAAAGATGAATTGTGAAATTCAGAAACAAATCTAAAAAATCAAATTTATTTAGTGTTTCCCTAAATAAACACATGAATAAGTATAATCTGATGAACACAGTGCAAGTACTTCACAATAGCAATAGCACCAAAGAGAATTAACATCCAATTTTGTAAAAGTTATTTGGGGATTTAAGTAAACACCGTCTATTGGTACACTTCATCCTGAACTGTATAGTTTATTGGGCAACTAAAACTTTGGTACCAAGATACTAGCCAAGAGGATCTACAGTAGAAGTACTCGTGGACCCCTTTGGCTAAATTGGAGACAGTTGCAATGCCATTGAAATGATGTGAACATGATTTTGCAGAAGTAGCATCAGCACCAGGCATTTGCAAATGTGCTAAATTCTCCAAAACTTTGATGCAGGCAAAATGTTTAAGGATAGAAATAGAAAACTATGCTATAAACTAAAAGCAGCCTTGCAAGTAATTACATGCCCACTTCTCAGGGTGATAAATTACACTTGCTCATGCTTTTATACTTTTTCTGAGACTTATGAGAAGATTATAGGTAATCTTTTTCTTTCCATTGATACTTGTAAAGTTGCATCAAGGCCATACATGTCAGACTGGGATAAAACAATTTTGAGAATGATCTGAAGTCAAAACCAGGTGGTAAGAGAATGTAGCAGCTAAGATGTTAGACCGAAAAATAAGGGGCTGGTGGGTGGAGGAGAGAATCACTGAAGACCAGTTTATGCCACTGGTGGTGCAGCTGTGAGAAATAAACCTCACCTGTGATCAAAATCGCAATTGACAACCTGAAGACAAATGGAGGGCAGGAGACAGACAGCTGCTTGACATGACTTGGCACCCCCAGTTTAGCCAGAGCACAGTGCAAGGAAAATAGAATGCAGATGGGGAGAGAGGGAGCTGAGGCATGGTAAGGGAAAAGACTGCAGACAAGTCCATCAGGTGAACCTCAAGGCCAGGTGGTGGGCATGGGCCGTGTCTGTTGTACATGCTCAGAAATAGTCTCCTGGGAATTGAGTGAGGTTCCCACCATCCTCAGTATGGACATGACTTTCTCCTATAGCCACACAGTTCAAATGCCTGAGATCCTCTTTTAACTACCTTTCCAGGTGACTTGTGGTTTGCTCTAAAACAACTGTCTAAGCCAGTCATCCCAATCTATAGGATTTTTTGTGGTTATGTGCTCTTTCCTAGTGACCATGCCACTGTGAACCTTCCAAGCAAAGGATCATTGCTGACAAATCACCAAAATATGAATTCTATTGATATTTTTCACAGAATCACAATTTTGGAGGAGGCATGTCTTTCCATTGCTAGGACTGGTACCTTAGTCTGTATCTTGAGTTTGTCTAGCCCAGGATTGGCAAAGT